AATGTCATAAAGCTTATATGTACGTTTAAGTAAGACAATGAATATCAGGGTTCTTAATTAACCGTTAGGATCAACCTAAGCATCTAAAATTCCAGATAACTGCAAAAGTGATAGGGTCTTTGTCTCCGAGCCACTTGTCTTCGCAGACAAAAAACTGCAGTTTACCAACAACTTGAGCTACATAAGCAATAATTTTTATAGTGTATTTTAATTGAATCAGGATTGGGCTGAGAATCGATATGCTTATCATAACGCTAAATAAACTGGGTTTTAAGCCGAAAAAAAAGTTTAGGCCAGGGCTGTCCAGACCAGATACAATTGCGGACTAATACAAATCACAGTATAGATTGGGCGGCAGCATATATAAATACAAAGATTCATTGTTTTTTTGAAGAAAAAAAATACGGCGGTAATGTTAAATCTAGTTTTATTAATTTTTCATTTATTTATCTTTAACAAGTCCATCAACATCAACATTATTGATATTATTAGTTTAAATAATAGAAAGGTTAAGAAAGTAAGTGAGATCTCTCTAGTATTAAAGTATATTAAAACTGTTTACTGGATGGTGCACACTAACGATAGCTTGTAGCATTCTAAAATAAAACTTTGCAATATAGACGTAAAGTCTACATGGCGTATAAGGAGTAGTAGTCCTTCGATTTTTTCCTAATATCATTAAGCTAATAATTAAACTATTAGATACTTAAATTGTATCTTCTTTGCAGTTGTACTTGAAATGCATCTATTTTACATTATACATTCTCCAAATTGAAGTATTCGGATTAAAAATGTAATGAAAATACCACTTAAACTTGATTAGAATAAAATATTATATATCTTAATATATATATTAATAATAATTTAAAAGAAGAATAAAAAATAAAAAAAACAAATCTGTAGATTTTTGCTATATATAATTATAATGGATTGAAAATCGGTTTTTTTATTCTATTTGCTATGTAGATAAGTATTATATATTAATATTAAATATATTACTGATGTTAATTAATAATAATAATTAATACATTTTATTTAAACCTAATTTAAAATTTGAGTTTATAAGGTATTTTTGAGCTAGTATAGCCCAAATTTTGTATCTGTTATAGTTTTAAACATAAATATTTTAAAAAAGTTGCTTCATTTATACACATTTTGAAAAGAATTGTGTACGTGATTTGTAAGTGAAGGACGTAGAAACTATGCAAAAAATTTACATAAAAATTTGACATGAAATATAAAAAAAATTTTAAACAAAAAATAAAAAATTTTTAAAAATTTTGAAAAGAAATTTTAAATTAAAATATAAAATTTAAAATCTAAGGAAAGTGTAAATGTTACACGCAAATATCTGTAAGATTTTATAAGATATATTCCCACAGATCTTATATTGCTTAAATCAGCGTCCCCTAAAAGAACACTTAAATACTCAAAAGAAAGATTTTAGGAATTATAATTAATATCTGAAAATATTAAAAATTTAAACACAATCCAAAAACACAAACAAATTATAATGTAGCACTACCATATATTGCTATATACAATACTACAAATAATAATATTTATTGAGTTACTTAAGAGTTAAGTAACTTTATTTATATTCAATACATATAACTATATATATTTAATTATGAGTAATATTCAAAAACAAGAAATGCAATTAATAGAGGCTTAAAATAACTAATTACATGTATAGATAATTATAATAATTATAACATAAAAACATAGAAAGTTTTTATTAAAGAAAATAGTACCCATTGACTAGTTTCAAAAGCACTTTATACCAAAAGCGGTTGGGTTTACGTCAGGAAACAACCCATCAACATGAATAAACCATTACTTATTACTCTCATGCGGGTCAAACACAATTTTCTAAATAATTTGCAGTTTTCTATAAACATTTAAACTTTTGTGTTTTTAGAAAATGTTATTAATACTTAAGAGAAAAAGAAATAACACAAACTGAAGCTCTACTTTGCGACAATGTGTAAAATTGTAATATAGGTTCAGTAAATGCATTTTTTAATAAATAAAGAAAATTATAAATAACTGAATGCAGTTCTTTTAATTGTAATTAGAGGTGGAGAACTATCGATAGCACTAACGACACTATCGATGGTTTACCACTATCGATCCGCCATCGATGGCAGTGCTAGACTATCGATAGTCTACGATAGTTTGTAATAGCAACTCTTCACAAAAAACCGTAGTTTCAGAACGCCGGATTTAACTGACGGAAAAAACATCAATATGATGTTATCTTTAAACAAAAATCTCTAATTACTAAAACAGCAACAATGTCGGAAAAAGGATATAAAATTTATGATTTTTATTTTATTTTATGTAAAATATTATCTCCAAAAATTAAATAAAATGTGTCATATTAAATAAATTAAAGTGAAATTTTAAAATAAAAAAAAAGTTTTTGAATTGAACAGTATTGAAATTAATATACTACCGAAAACTAACGATAGTAATCGATGGTTTGAAAAAAACTATCGCTCACTATTGATGGTGCCTACTTATCGATAGTCGGCACCATCTCCACCTTTAATTGCAATATTCATAATATATTTGCATTATTTGAACTAAAAATTTTATTTCAATATAATGCGTCTACGTTTTATACAAGACATATATGTTATAATAAAAACAAATAAAAGTACTAAAACCACACCTTGAAGATGTTACATTGCTTTCAAATTTGCTTACTAAATTGAATATATATAAATTATGAAATAAAACCTTTCATTTCTCCACACACGCAGTCAATTTTCAACTCACAACAATTTTAAAATAACAACATTCAAAATGACACCTAACAGTTGCAAAAAATATATGAAATCTAAAAGGAATAAAAAAAAGTACCACCTAATTGCATAAAAACACGAAATAAAATAAGAAAATAATTATATTTTCCAATGTTAAAAATATTTTAATATACTTTAATATAGCATTATGTTGTGTTTCAACTCCCTCAGGGAGACAACATCCAATGTTATTAGATCTACTAACGGTTAGCAATGTTTTTAGATCTATTTATATGAAAATGAGTTTGGAATATTTTAGACTTGTCGTATTAATTTTCATTGCTAGCAAAGTACCATCCTTATCAGCAACTGACATAATCAATAATTCTTACAAAATATGTTCAGAGTTGAAATTATCCCTACGCTTGGCCCATTGATTTATAATATAGAAAAACTAAAATTTGTTGAAAAGCATAAATATTTCCACCTTTTTTAATAATGTTAACACATTTTAAATTGAGTAAAAAAATTTATCCATCTATGCGATAAGTAACGCCACATTAGATATAAAATTTGAAGACTTCTGCATTCTTCACATAATGTATTCTTCCTCAACATTAATTTTCGACCATAATTTTGATCCATGTTAAACCTATCGCATTATATTATCACAGTATTTTTTCCCTGATAAAATATCTTCAACATTAACACTCCTTGATCCTAGGCTGCTTCACTACCGTAATAAGAGTTAAAAAAACTGCCAGATATATACATATATAGTGAATATATCTAAAATAGCTTCGGATCCTCAGTATACAACAAACAAAAGAGATTAAGATATAATGAATATGTCCTTATTATATAAGAATACTCGTATATGTTAAAAGGATTCTCTCAAGACAAACAAAAACCAGGCTCTATAAGTTTGTTATCATGCCTGTCCTGCGGCGTGGTGCAAAAGTTTAGAAAATAACTTTAGTGATGAGGTATTAGGAGCATTCACAAGAAAAATTCTCAAAAGCATTTATGGTTCTTTACTCATTGGCAACGAGTATTGAATTAGATGAAACGATGTGCTCTATAAGCTATACCTCGAGATTGATCTAGTTTAGCGCATGAAAATTCAGCGACTTCGCTGCCTTTGTCATGTCGCGCCGAATAGAAAAAATGTTTCAGTTAGAAAAGTGTTTGAGTCAGTTTCCGCTGGTGGAAAACAAGGCTGATGAAATCCGTATTTGGTTCCGTGGAAGAACCAAATGATTAACGACGTGATAATACTCAGTACTCAGTTGGAAAATTCGCGTACATACAAGCCCATATATTATGATAAGATGATGGGATTGTTAACAAGACGACGATTGTCTTTAAAAACACTTTCTGAAAACGAAAAAATAAATGGAGGAAATAATGTAAGAAGGCTTAAAAATAAATTTAAACATTTTTTAGTTTGTTTGCCCAATAAGTATAAATATATAAAATAATAAATAAATAAAATAATAAATAAATAAAATAAAAATAAAATATAATAAAATAAAATAAAATAAAATAAAATAGAAATAAAAATAAAATAAAAATAAAATAGAAATAAAATAAAAATAAAATAAAAATTAAATAAAAATAAAATTAAAAAAAAATAAAAATAAAATAAAAATAAAATAAAATAAAAGTAAAATAAAAATAAAATAAATATAAAATAAAATATAAAAATAAAAAAATAATAAAGAAAAAATAAAATAAATAAAAAATAAATATTTATAATGCAAAAAAGTTTCAAGAGTCGTTGGATACCTCCTGCTATAAAAATCGCGAAAATTAGAGATATCAGGTTAGAGGTATCCTATCAAAACTAAATAACTACATTTGTGAATTTTCTTTGGAATATTAAGAGATTTAAGAAGCTCCATCCAGATATTTCCTAAATATAATTTTTCATACCAATTTCAACTTAAGTATGACTAAATCTCCCTGCACAACATTTATGTTGATGAAATATGTTTCTTTAATGAATGTGTACATATTTATCGAATTAATAAATCTATTGTATATACATATATAGATTAGAATTGATTCGAAGAAACAGTACTCTGATTAATGCGGAACCAAATCACTTAACGGGCTTGTCATCTTTTATTGACAATTGACAAATATTTATTCACACTTATTACTAATATAAAATGTTTAGCAGTTGACAATAGTTACGGTAAATATTCGCAATTAATAAAAAAAAATGGAAAAATATAATGTACTTACTCTGTTGCATCGTTTGCAATTTGTCCACAGATTCTTATCTTATCACCTGCCTCAATTGGTTTCGGTAAAATTACCTTAAATATATCACCCATTATGTTTCAAAAATAAATTTATATGTGAAATAATGTAACACTAATTATAGAATTCGAATATAATTATTATTAATATTATTTATTTGTATAATTTCAATTAAATATAAATTGCTTAAATATTTTTATTTATTCGATTTAGTTGCGATTTGTTTTGGATTTTTTGTTTTCCACCGTTGCTAAGACAGAACTATAAAATTTGGTATTAAATTAAAACGAAACGAAACGATTTTCCGAAACGATCCACTCCGCTTAAAATACAAACAGAAACTGATGATTTATAACAAAAAATTCCGGCTTTAAAGTGTTAGCAAAATAATTTATGTGGCTATAAATAACAACAATGTGTTCTTTCATTGCGTCACAGTGAAACAGACAGAAATGCCGTTTCTTTTCTTCTTAAGCTACTCGGAAGAATGCTACACGCACGTGAGGAGCTATTAAACAAAACAAAACAAATCAACCACACACAAGGAATTCTAAGAAATAACTAAAAAGGAAAGTAAAATATGCCTTAACATACGCGAGCAAAGCTCTCATTTTTGTTTTGTTGTGATTACAGTGTTCGTTGTGTGGAGAGTTTCACAGCTGCTAACGCTACCGGCAACGAACATACATTTTGTGAAAAGTGGTGAATATAAACATTTGAATCAAACAAGCTAAACTCAACTTATGTGTTGGTAACTTTTCAATTAAACCTCCTTCATAGCTTTACCAAAATATATTGATTGAACTTAAATGGCTAAATATGAAATCGATATTTTGTATTAAATCTATTTTTTTTCTATGAATTTGTTTATATTTATTGTATGTATAATTCTGTTTGTTCATTGGTAACAATTATTTTCTCCATAAGATTACTATTCAAATAACAATTTTTAAGAAACTTTATAATATTACAAAACCATTAATTATTTTCTTGATATATAGTTTTATTTTATATTACATTCATATATAGATGAATTTAATAAAATATAATTTTTATTAAATTTCGATTTAATTACTGTTCAAATAACAATTTTTAAGAAACTTTGTAATATTATAAAACTCTTAATTATTTTCTTGGCATATGTTATTTCTTTATATTATATTCATACATAAATTTAAATATAAAGAAATTTAATAATATATAATAATTTTCAGTATTTCGATTGACTACAAGTTTGAGTACCAATAATATATATGTACATGCATAATCTTATTATTTGGGAACTTTTACAATTTTTTTAAATAGAACTTATTTTGAGTAAAAATGTATTATCTATATAATAATATATATAAATATTGCAATTATTTGTCTATAATATTTAATTTAACTAATTTTTGAATTAGTCTCGCTAGACGAAAACCGTTTATTTTGCAGGTTAACCACTAGAAGCGTTTAGCCTATGTAAAAGAGTACTTCAGCAAGCTAATTGACTTTTGAAACAATGTAATCTCCTCGGATGAAAAAAAATTTAATATATTTTGATCCAACGGCTGCAGAAACGGTTTGGAAAAAACTAAACACCAAACTGCAAAAAAATAATCCTGCTATGTCTGTGAAACATGGTGTTTGTATGGGAGTGCATGTTCGTAGCAGGTGTATGCGAATTGAAATTCATTGACGGCATTGTGGATAAAAAATATTATTCAGCCATCCACAAGAGAATTGAAAAGAAAGTGCCGAAATCTAATATACAATATGATAATGATCTGAAACATACTATTACTGATGTGCGTATGTGGCTCGCGCATCATGTAAAACACACATTACCGCATCCGCCCCAATCTCCAGATTTTAATCTAATTGTACATTTATGAGAAGAATTGAATAGAGGTCTAAAGAAGCTTGCTATAACAGCAAAAGTAGAACTGAAATTAGCACTGCTCGAAGAGTGGCAAAATATTTAGCCAGAAACCATACAAAAATTGGTTTCTTCAATGTCAAGGTAAGCTATTATCAAACAAAAGGGTTTGGCCACTAAATATTGATTGTTACCTTTTTTTTTATAATGTTCGTATTGGTGTCGAACTCAATGTTTATGTTTGAAATTTTTTGCCGGGCTTTAGGTCGTTGTTTTAAAATTCATATTTTTATATAATAACTTGTATTTTATAAAAAACAAACTTTGGATTAAATAAAATATCACAAAGATTAAATTATGTAATATATTATTTTATTAACAAATATTTCGGTCTACTTCGTAGACCATCTTCAGTGTTATTAAAATTATACAAATACAATTATATAAAAAAAAAATTTTAATGTTAAAAGTCATATAATAATCAAACAAAAATATATGAAAAAGTGAAAATTAATTTTTAAAAAAAGAATGGCCAGTGTTGTCATTGTTAGAACGAAAAACATAATTTTTAAAAACTTTTTTTTAATTTTTATGCAAATATAAAGAAAACTAAACAGTAACGTTACCTTTGTCCGCATCTGATATCAACATCAACATAATATCAAAAAATAATTTTCCAATCAACATTATCAAATCCTTGATAAAAAAAGCAAAAGCTGGTGAAAGTAAAAAATCGGAGAGTGAACCCAAAACTTATGTATCAATGACGTACATACTTAGCTTCTCCGAAAACTTTCAAAAATCAAAATGCTTCAAGAAAACAACACATGAAGTAGCATTCAAAACTACAAATAACATACCTTAAAAAATTTGTTTAATAGAACAAAAACTCCAATAGACAAGTTAGAGCAACATAACTTGATTTACAAAATTCTGTGTGGAGGTGACGGAGTCAACATATGCCAACAGGTATATGTTGGCACAACAAAACATAAATTAAGAACGAGAATCGCTGGACACAAATATGATCTGAAGAGTCGCACTACACCCCTGGACCAAAAAACAGCACTCGCAACACATTGTATTAAAATGAACCATACTCCCAACTTCGATGATATTAAAATTCTTCATCAGGAGAAAAATTACAAACGTAGGATGTTGCTAGAAATGCTACATATAATTGACGTACCAGATGATCAACAACTAAACTATAAGAGGGATATTGAAGGTTTAGCACAAATCTATAGATTACTAATCTAAAATTGCTAAATTTATTTTTTATTTTTATTTATATTTGCATAAAAATTAAAAAAAAATTTTAAAAAATTATGTTTTTCGTTCTAACAATGACAACACTGGCCATTCTTTATTTAAAAATTAATTTTCACTTTTTCATATATTTTTGTTTGATTATTATATGACTTTTGACATTAAAAATTTTTTTTTATATAATTGTATTTGTATAATTTTAATAACACTGAAGATGGTTATTGAAAGTAGGTCTACGAAGTAGACCGAAATATTTGTTAATAAAATAATATATTACATAAATTAATCTTAGTGATATTTTATTTAACCCAAAATTTGTTTTTCATAAAATATAAGTTATTATATAAAAATATGAATTTTAAAACCACGACCTAAAGCCCGGCAAAAAATTTCAAACGTTAATTGTTACCCTAAATATTTTTTTTAATTTTTTCCATTTCTACATAAGATATGTCAATAATTTTGTTCAGCGTAATTTAGTATTTTTTTGGTTTGTTAATTTTAAGAAATCAAAAGTAAGCGATAATTTGATAAAATAAAATGAGTTTAGTTGCAAATTAAACATTTTATCTAAAAAAAAATTTTGTTAGTTAAAAATATCTACATTAACGGCGTAAAAACAGTGCTAAAGTTTATTATACTTGCTGTGCCAATAATTATGTTCGTTACTGTATATATGTATATATATATGTAAGTCGTAAATAGTAAATTATTTTTAAATATTTTATAGTTTCAAAATTTAGAAAACAAATTAAAACTTTGCAAAATGATAAATATAAAATGAATATTTTAAAAATGCGCCTTTAACCATTTTGTTTTTGTTTTGTTTTTTTTTAAAGTTAACTCAAAGATTTTCTGCTTTGTTTTGTAAACAAACAACAGCTGAGAACTAAAAGAAAACAAAGCAAATTAATCTGTTGCTCATTGCTTTTTCTGTGCAAAAGAGTAAAATACAGAAGAGCACAACATTTACTACATACAAAAATAATAAATGCTGTCAAAAAAAATACATACATTATTATTGGGCTTACCTACACTATCATGAACACACATCATGAATATAAACTCGAAAACGGGTTTTTGCTAGATGAGAATGGGAAGAGAGTTTGATGTTAGTTCATGAATTTCAAGCAACGAGATTGCAGCTTGACATTTTGAAAGGAATTTAGTCGTATTTTGAGCAGCTAGCGTTGTGTGTTTCGAGTGAAAAGTGAGTAGTTTTTTGTTTTATCTTGTGATTTTATTGATTATATTTAATTATATATTTATAGACAAAATAAATTAACGAAATATATAATACATAATATGTGTAATGTATATAATATATATAAATATATATTTTTATATATAATTTAATTTTAGAAAAATGGTTTTAAATATAACATAACCTATAAATATTAATTTAGGTTTACATGGCGAAAGACAAGTGGAGCAAACTGGAAACAGAGGAATTAATTTCAATTTACCGAAATTATCCTCTTTTGTACAATATGAAACATAAAGACTATATAAAACTTTCCAAAAAAGAGGCTGCGCTAAACGAAATAGTCAGCCGAATAAAAGTGATTAAACCAGACGCAACATGCGAAGTGGTTAAAAAAAAAATAAAAACATTAAAAGATCAATATGGCGTAGAGCAGCGAAACATTTTAAAAAAAAGTAGAATTAATACTGCAGCAATATATACACCCAAATTATGGTGCTTTGAACAGCTAAGATTTCTATCTCAATCAAGTGATGAATCAGTTGATAGAAAATATATAAACGTAATATAAATACTTTAATATTTGCTTTAGAGAATTATTAATTGTTTCATTAATTTGTAGGTAAACATCGGTAATGAGAACATAGAAATATTCCAACCGTCCACTTCAGCAGGCCAGTTGTCCATTTCAGCTGAAATACAAAAGCCAAAGAAGGAAAATGAATTGGACACAATTTTGGACCAAACCGCGCAAACATGCCAACTTGTGCATGATTTAAAAACAAGTGTAGAACAAGCGGAGGCCTCAAAGTCAGCATCTTTTTGCAAGTATATGCAGACTGAGTTAGATAAACTAGATGAAACCTATGATGACGCACTGGATGATATCATAGCTGTCATTCAACGCTATAAGCGTAAGGAAAAATTGCTTAAATGTAGAACTGGTAACTTAGAGTAACTTAGATGTACATATTTGTATGTATTTAATTTCAAAATAATAAAAAATATTTGCACATGTTTAAATTCAAAAATATGATTTAAGATGATGAAATATTATATATATTTCCTATTTTAAAAAAATTTTCGACAAATATCTTTCGCTAGTCGTCCAATTTTGTGATATTTTCAAATGCATTTTCATTGTTTTCCAGTAATTCCATTTCTATTGAGTCATCTACACTAGTTGTTAAATTCTGCATGTACCATGTACTTTTTTCTATGAAAAAGTTGTGTAAGACGCAGCAACAAAGCACAATTGTAGTACATTTTTCACTATTTAATTTCATAGTGGTTTGCAGAATTTGAAACCTTTCGATAATACTCCAAAAGCTCGTTCCACACATTGCCTAGCCTTACTTAGGCTTACATTATAATTAACAATTTTAGGATCCGTTAATTTTCTAGAATATGGTGTCGTAACATATTTCATCAGAGAAAATGCATTATCCGCATCCACAATGTATGACGCAATCCTATTATCACCAATATTTTCTTCTTTTGGAAATAATTTATCCCTGTTCTCAATAATTTTATTTAAATCGCAACGTCTTAGTATACCACCAACACTAATTCAACCATTTCGACCAACATCGATAAAGATAAACTAGCGTTCGCATCTACCATTGCCATCAGAAGAAAACTTTGAAAACCTTTGTAGTTATAGTACAATGCCCTTTCGAGGAGTCATTGCTATATGTTTTTCATCTAATGCTCCAAAGCAATGTGGAAACTGCCAGCGTTGTTGAAATTCACGTGTAATTTTTAACCATTCATTTTGGATTTCTGGAAACTGGAAAAAAATCGATAATTGGTAATTATACATCTAAAACTCAAACAAGTTGTACCTTCAAAAAAATGACGCATTAGATTCTGGTAAATGATTTCGCAAATCTCTATAATGTTTATGCTTAAAAACGTAGGTGACTGTAGTGTGTTTTCGCCTAACTCTTTATAGTTTTCTCCGGTTGCAAAAAATCTGAGCGTTACTGCTAATCATTCTTCAATTAAAACACATTTTCTTGAATTGGTATCCTGCGGCAATATTTCTGGTCTTACAAAGCCCATCTTTAAAGCAATTTTCATTAAAAAAATATGATTTGTAATTTATAAAATCGTTCGCTAATTTATATTCTTTTAATAAATGTTTCCTTCGTTTCCTCCGCAACGTTTCCTTCTTTCTCTCCAATGGTTCAATCACAATTTTTGCTTTTTATTTTTTTTTAAAGCTTCTGCTACTGCCAACAAATTTAAACAATTATTATTCACGGCAGACATTAAAAGTAATTCTTTATTTAGATCCATTAATACTGAATATTCTGAATTTCAGTGATATGTACTACTACACACAAGCTTTTTATAAGTTTACACAAAACAAAACAAATTTCACACTTCATGACAGTTCATGATAGTGTAAACTGCACTGTTAGCTCAAGTTGTCGTTAAGTTCATCTTACGTTCATGATAATATAAATAGGCCCAATAAAATATTATTATTTTATTTAACTAGTTCTGTGTCAATATTTAGGTTATAATTATTTGGAACGCTTATACGTTGTCTGGTATGTGTGGTTTCATACCCATATCACATCATACTAGTAAGAAGTCAATCACTTCTGTGCTACGACTTAGAATTAAGAAAGATTATCACAATATTTTTATTTCGCAAACATGACAATATAACTTAATATCATTCTTTAAAATTAAAGTTATTACGTGACGACAAGCATAGATCGTAATTTAATTAATTTTAATTCTTATATCTAAGTTCAAGTTCTGTTATTGCAAGTGTTTCTTTCATTTCGAATTCCAACAGTTTCAAATGTTCTTGACTTTTCAGTCCTTTTTCCTTCTCTTCCAGATCCTTCTCTTGAACCGCCATTTGCCTTTCTTGGAGCTGTATTTGTTTTTCTCTAAAAATCTTATCAAATTTCATTTGTTCTATTCCTAATTTTAAAATCTTTGCTCGACTTTGAATCAGTTCAGACACAATTAAACATAAGCAAACTCCGCTACAGCAAGTAATCGAAATGTTCTCGGGAACATTTTTGATTGTTTGATGATTTGATGTTTCCGATAACGAAAATCTATTATCGTGACTTGCACTTGGCATTTTGTCATAATAAATTTCAAATGCTTCGTTCTCTGTTTTGACTATAGTAATAGAAGCTTCGTTTGACGTTTGATCACTTATTGTTTCTGATTGAATATTATCAAATTGGAATACATTGAAAGAATTAGATTCAAAAAATTTTTCGAAGTCGTAATAAAATGGACACTTGCTAAGCACGGTATCTAAAACAATAAAATCGTAATTTCTTTGTATAAAAATTTGAGTATAATCCATAAGTTTAAAATATAAATCTTTAGTTTCAATCGTCTAAGCAAACAATTTTACAAGTTTGACACTTCTCATTGCTTGTAATTGCTTGTATAGGCAACACTGCTACTTTTAAATAGCAAAAAATAAAACAGAAAACTTTTTGGGACTAGAAACTTACTTCTAATTTTTCTGTTATCTGCCTTAGCAGCTCCTACGGTATTTAACCATTCCTTTGTATTTTTATAAGTTTTCCGCATAGTGAACATCTTTGAGCGAACCATCCTCCAATCAGCGTTTACACCACTACTTTGAAGAAAACGATTATAATATACCCGAGCCGTTGGTTTCTGGAAATTAAAATGAATTTATTCTATAATAACAAAAACTTGTTTCAAGTGACTGACTAAAAATTCAATATTCTGTTTCAGAAAATTAACAAGAGCCGCTTCTTCCTCTGGTGTCCACATTTTCAGTTTTCTTTTCGATTTTACTTTTCTCTAAAGAAGGAAAATAAAAAACAACATATATAATCCATTAAAATATTTTTAAATAACAAAGTTATTTAATTTCTTAGTAATAACATATTACCTATTTGATTTACTAAATATGTTTCAATATTGTTACATGTTACAAGAAAAAATAATTTCTGCAAAGTGGAATCCAAAGAAGCTGCACATTCATTAAAAAGTACCCAAACTACAAGTACAGTCTATAATCATATTTTCAATTCGTTGGAAATAAAAGGTATGGAGTTGTAAGCTTTTAAAACATTGCAGATTTCATCAAAAAAATAATGCCAGACACGATATTATAGGAATTTAATCATAACCTTGAAGTAGGTACTTAATAATTTCAACAAAATGAGGTTTATTATCAGATCTGCATCATCCTATCTCATTTTACTACATATGATATATTAAAAAATTCAATACATGTATATATTTATACATTCTCTTCTCTAGCAATTATTTCAGAATTTCTCTCAATTGTTGATATAACGTGTGAATTCCTTCATAACTCTAAACATGAAGGGATTACAAGACGTGTATATGGGTTAGGATGGGGTATGTAGTTCAGGGACAATTGAGTCTACGCTCCAGAGACACTTATGTGCTCATATGACTAACGCTCGCTCACTCTCAAAATGGAGGATAGCGGTTTTATATGATGGACAAGCAAACTGCTTGTCAAACCTGATGCATTCTTCATTCACACAATTATGAAAATTGTAGAAAACCTTTTTTCAATTATGCTTTTCGTCGCTTTGAACATGTACTCGAAAACACGTCTTTAGTTTAAGCTTATTTACTAGATTTTGATTATATTTTATTTTTGTTAATATTCAATAAAAATTTATTTAAAAGTACATTTAAATGGATAAGACGAAATTTTAAAAGCCTGGAAAAAATTCTTTCTTACGAATTAATAACGTAATAATTAAAAATGAACCATACTACCATAAATTGAGTAATAAATTAGCTAAAAAAAATTTGATTCATGAAAGCTGAGATTTGAAATATATTGTTTACAATGAACACTGTTAATGGAAGAGTTCCCCTTAATATCTAGTCGATTTTGATACCTTTTTGGTTGTTACCAAGTTTGGAATTTTTAAATTTTTTAGATTGTCACTCATATACTTAAGATTTAAATGGATTTCTATGAATTGTTAACTTGGAAAAGATGATCATATAAATAACATAATTTAATTCTGCTTTTGAAAAAAAATACCATAGATGGATGAAAATTACTGATTCCATCAACATTTTTTTTATTTACCTTAATGTTACGAATTTCTTCTGCAATTTTTTTATTTGCTTTAAATTTTGCTTTTGTGTCATCGCTTTTTGCTGCTCTTCGTGCTCTCTTTTGTTCATTGATATGGTCTTTATTTGCTTTATAATAACTTCTATTCCGTTCCCTGACATCTTTATTGGCTGCATATTTGGCTCTTGCTCGTTCTTTAAGGATATCATTATTCGCCCAATATCGTTTTCTTGATCGTTCTTTGATAATATCCTTATTTGCCTCATATCTTGCTTTCTTTTTATCAGCATATTTAGGTTTTTGTTTTTCTTTGATCTCTTCTACATTTTGCAATCTTAATACTGAATTTGTTTCCAATATTTCTTCTTTTTTTTCAGATTCATTGACAACTATATTCTGTTCTGATTTACAACTTGCATTATATCTTGCTCCTGTCAGGTCTTTAATAATATCATTATTTGGCTCATATTTAGCTTTTGTTTTATCAGTATACCTTGGTTTTTGCTTTGTATTTGTATTTAACTTTTCTTCTTGTTTAGTTTCTATCTCAAGTTCATCATGTTCCAATTTATAATTTTCATCAGATATTGCACTGGATAAAGCTTCGATGTTATCTTTAATTGCATCAGATCCCACTTTTGCTTTATCTTTATTTGCTGCATACCTTGCCCTTGATCGTTCTTTTATAGTATCTTTATTCGCTTCATATTTTCTCTTTGCTCGTTCTTTGAAAATATCTTTATTTGCTTCATATCTTGCTTTTGCTTTATCCTTATTTGCTGCATACTTAGCTCTTGATCGTTCTTTGATAGCTTCTTTATTTGCTTCATACCTTTTTCTGGATCGTTCTTTGATAGCATCTTTATTTGCTTCATATCTAGCTTTATGTTTATTTGTTGGATTATTTTCCTCTGATGGTTCATAAACAATATCTTTATCTTTCATAATCTTTTTGTTTAAATCATTTATGTCTTTTACTATGCTCGCACATATTGACTTTTGTTCTTTTGTATTTTCTGTATTTAAGCCAGTTATTATATTTGTATCTGTGCTTTCTGGTTTAGTTCTTTGGTAAACCCTTTTATGTTCTAATATGCTCACTCCAGTATTTGAGTTTGGACTTGTTACAGTTTCCTCATCCATGTTAATGCTAAATATTTATGCTGAAATCAACAACATATAACCCATCCTATTTGGTAAAGCTGACTCAATAGATTTCTTTTTGATCCAGTGTTAAAAATTGTTAGAGTAACTTGTGTTAAAGATAATTTTTAAAAACCAAAATTTAAACATTACTATCGACTACAAAATACTTCCGACTTCGAGACACCAAATTATAATAAAAAAGGGAAATACAATTTTCAATACACGAACCAACATTTTTTGGAACTGCGAGCAAAATGTTCGACTTGGAGACATTTTGCTGCTGGCATGCTTGAATGAACATAGAATCTTTCTAATAAAAACTGTGAAAACTTATCTACTTTCACTTCTTCCACGTTGTCTGGAATGATGCTGTTTGTTCAGGTGTTTAATATAATATGTGTTGTAACAGGTGTGAGGTACTTCTTTTTGCTGGTAATTGGTGTAACAATTTGTTGATATTCTTAAATCTTAATTTCTAATATAACTTTATGCTTCGATTTTTGTTCATATTGAACATAGATGATAGTTTAAAATAATTAACACATAATCTCATTCTAATGTTTTGTTATATTTTTTTGTTTTGTTATTTTTATTTTGTCAGTCACTTGTTGGGATGATTTTTAGTTAGTTTATACTGCTGGGCACAGTTCACTTATTGTTTAAAATTATTATTATAGATTTTTGTATTAGTAATATCACAACAATGCGATTTTTTAGTTGATTATTTATTTTAAATTAATATTTTAAGGTTTTCAGTTTCTTAACTGTTTATCAGGCAAAAAAGTAAACAAATTTTGTTCATGACAAATGACATTTTAATGTCAAAACATACGTAACAGGGTTGTATTATTCGAATTATTTTGTAAGACCGCTTTCACGCTTTTACTTGCTAAGATTGTAATAACAGTCTGATTCAATATAAAAATCTGACGGCTAAAAAAACGATTGAACCATGATATGTACAAAAACAAGTTCAAACTTCTCCATTATACTGTTGTGTAACGATATTAGGTATTCATTATTATGAGCAAAGAACTCTGTACGTAGTGAAAGTACTAAACGTATTTATCTACAATTATATGATATTTTTTCAATATACTTTTGTTCAACTTTCAGTTAACTTTTATACATTAAATACATAAACTACGTAAATTAATATGTATATTATTAATTAAGTTATTATTATTATTATTAATTAACTTATTATTGTTTCTTATACTTAAGTTCAAGCTCTTTCATCGCAATTCTTTCTTTCATTTCCAATTCCAAAATCTTTAAATACTCCTGACTTTTCAGCTCCATTTCTTTGAATGCAATTTCTTTTTCTTGAACTGCCACTTGCCTTTCAAGCAATTGCATTTCTTTTTCTCTAAAATTTGAGTCAATGTCCATTTTCTTTTTCTTTAATTTTAAACTTTCTGCATGACTCTGCACCATTTCAGATACGGCTGTTCCAAAATAAGCTCCACTGCACTTTGTAGAATGATTATTATCGAAAACATCTTTAGTACAATGATTTTCTGCGTGGCTAGACATAGTTTCCGTTAATGAAAAACTTCTATCTTGGCTAGCACCTTGCATATTATCATAAACATTTTCAAATTCTTCGTTTTCTGTTTTAACTATAGTATTAGATGCATCATCAAAATTTTGATCACTGATTGATTCTGATTTCACAATAATAGGTTGTAACCTATTTGATTTCGTAGGTGAATTAATGAAGTTTGATCCAAAAACTTTTTCAATATCATAATATAAAGGACACATATTGCGTATGGCATCTAGAATGGAATTGTATACCATTTTTAAAAAATTTCTACTTTGTGTTAAATTTAAAAACAATATTTCTTCTTCAATATATTAACCATAATAATATATGAAAACTGTAATAACATATACAGTGTTATACCAATTTAGCCAGCACGAAAAATTTAGAAATATAAAAGTTATCATGAATAAAATCACTTATGCTAAGAAAAATATATATGAAAGATATTTTAAAAATTTCTTAGCTAGAAAACAATAATTTGTTTAATAACATTTGTAATATATAATTTACATATAAGTGTTTATAAACGTTAAACTGATCTTATCGATTTAAACTTTTAATCTTTCAAATTTTCGTACTTCTCGTATCGCACCGTATTTTTTTTTTTAAGCTTTTAAACTAAAATAATACTTCACTGTTAACAATTTAAAAGGATCTAAAAACTTACTTCCAACTGATTCGTCATCTGCCATAGCTTCTCCTACAGTATCCAACCATTCTTTTGTTTTTTTATAAGTTTTTCTCATATTTAACACCTTTAAGCGTACAATTTTCCAATCAGCATCCACACCGCTACTTTGAAGGAAACGATTATAATATACCCGCGATGTTGGTTTCTGGAAATTAAAATTAATTAAATTTTTAATACAAAATTAATTTCAACTAACTGACCTCAAATTCCACATTTTCTTTAAGAAAATTAACAAGAGCCGTTTCCTCCGCAGGCATCCACATTTTTATTTTCTCTCGCAATTTACTATGTTCTATAGAAAGAAAGAAAAAACAATATATACACATTTCATACTAATTTACTCATATAGGACTTGCTTAAGATTCTAAATTCGCAATTGCTGAATTTGAGTGTTTGAGATGTACTCAATAAGTAAAATTCTGACTTTGATATGGAATATTGTGTTTTTACAATTAAAATTAGTTATATATTACATTATTATTTTTAAATTTTTTTGGCAAGTAATTGTAACCTCAAAATAATTGGAATGCTTGTGGATAAACAATAATCGTATTCACCATTAGGCGTAAATTATTTTAAAAATTTTACTTTATAAAAATGAAATATATTAGATATCTACTAGTCAGAATATCAGGATTCCCTAGTAGTCTGATTAAATTAGTTAATGCTTAATATACATTTGGTAGATTAATTTCGGATCAACTAGTTACTAATTTAGTAATCCGGATCACTTGTCCGTTTAATAGTCGCGTAAATAAATAACACTTATGGGTTATGCACATAATATACACATAGTTATTTGCAAATACACTTTACGAGTATCATTTATCATACAAATGAATTTCGCAATCCGAGAGTCTCAGTAATCTAGATTAACCCAATTTTTATGAATCCGAATTAGCGAAGTTGTACTGTACCGATAATAATAATAAAATAGACAGTGTGGGGCACTGACCTTATCTTTTGTGTTACTATCCGGTTTAAGGTGTACAGAAAACCCAATTTATTTTTGAGTGATAAACATATTAGCTATTGACATTTTAACAGACGGGTATCACTTTCTAGTAAAATTGACATTTTGTATTCTAGAACAGACATATCTTGTTGAGATGGTAACGCAGCCCACTATTACCTGACAAGAATCTTTGCCCTGTTGTGAGGAGGAACGCGCTTTGGAACTCCATACTTGATATTAATGTTGAAGCTAAACAGATCTTTGCGTTCACATCTCTTTGTCTCAATAAAATTGTTGTTCTGTAGTGGTTTTATTATCTTATATGTACATAATTTCTGTTAACTTTTAATTAAATTGTTTTAATTTAGTTTGTATACCTCGTAATTTCCGCTGATATACTTCTTTTATAACTTTTAGCTTTGCAGTTTGTCTTTATTGTTCTTTAAAAATATTTATTTATCTAATATCATGCTTTGTCTCCAACTTTACTTACAGCATTTGTAACTGCTGCTCTTCCGTTATTTGCAGAATATCTTGGTTCTTTAATAACATACTTATTTGCTTGGTATCTTGCCTTTGCTTTATCTTTATTTGCTGCATTGTCTCTGGTTTACTATTTGCCGCGTATCTTGCTCATTTTGTTTCTTTTATTTTTTCTATATTTTGCAATCTATATCTTTTACGGGTTTCTAACTTTCTTTGACGTTTAATTGCTTCGACTTGTGTTGTTTCGAAATAATTTGAATTTGAATTTACATTAAGTGTGTTACCATCTTCTATATTATTCTTAAATATTATTTCAAAATTACTAAAAATTACTTTGGCAACACTGGAAAAATTAAAGTTTTTAGCTTATTATTAAAATATTATATTTTGATAGTAAAATTTCGCAACAAATTAATTTTCAAGAGTTAATAACAGGAATATTAACCGATGATTTCGCAAACATATCTTCAACAGCGATTTAGCAAATTAAGTAACAAAGGCTTTATACTGTTGGCATTTCTACGAGAGCATTTAGAATCGTCATATTAAACAACGTTTATATGACGATACTTTTTTTATCTCACGCTGCTTTAGTTTATTTAAAGGTGTTTTAATTTAATCGCATCTACTAGCAATGCAATACATATTTATGTTATGTTTGCTTTACACATCTTCATTGTACTTTATGAATATTGCTATTTAGGTTGATTTTAGGCATTGTATGTTCATATATTTAGACAATCATTTAAAAATATGTTTACTTATTGCCACAGGCGTCTTTAATGTAAGAAATGAAATAAATTTTTCAGGAGCTGAGCTATGTAAATACGATAAAAAAATGCACTTAATTATTCACTTCTATTTATTATTATTGCCCAGTTTGTTCTGGTGTTGTTTTCATTATTCTCTGTCACTGCATCATTGTTTTTATTTACTTCCTAACATTTGCAGCTCCCAACCCAAATAGGGAATCAACATGCAGTTGTTTTTATAATTGTTACTGTAAGTTTGCGTGCCGATAAGGATAATAAATTGTTTCATTTTATTGAGTGTTTTTTCTTCTTATTTATAAAAAGCTTTTCTTATTATTTTGATTATACAGAAAAATTAGCACATGAATGCTTTTTTGGTAAACAAAACTTTAAGTATCAAATAATAATTTAAAGAACTGCTTATATAATACTATTATATATCTTTAGTAAAAAAATCCCTTACCAATCACACAGAATTAACTGAGCACGGAAATAAACTTTCTGCCGACAAAAAATTTACTACAAATCTATGGAAATACCGGCTTGAAGTATACTGCGTATTGAGAGGGAGAAAGTCATAATTTATTTACCACAGTTTTTTTATTTGCTATGAGAAATGTGTTGCTATAAAAAGTAGTAGAAAGTTTATTTGCAATGGTATTAAAATATATTCCAATTCGTTTAAAATATCGTATTTAACACAATAAATGTATTACAATAATTGCTATTTCTCATACAAAATACATAATCTTTAATATTCTAATAAGATTCTCTAATTGTAAATGTCAGATATTAAGCGTCTCCGATTTTTATTTAGCATGCTAAACTACAAAAATAAGCGTTAATGTCGAATGTGACGCAATTTATGACGAAAAAACACTATTATAAAACTCTATGTAAAACAAACAATTTTGGAAGTAAAGATAGAAGTTTGCCACGAGCTTCTCATAGTAAAACTCAACTAAAACAGAAGTAAACTGCAAACTAAGAGCGATAAAAT